TATATAATAATACTAATAATGCACATTGATGTGCACTGCGATCCATTCATGTTCGTCTTCCTCTGGATCAACTGTGGGTGTAGGATTATAATTTGTTTTTTTTTTAATGGTTGAACTGGATGGACTTTTGTCTTTTTTCAACCAGACTAACTATGTAACTATGTCTTAAAGCATACGTTGTATGACAAACAAAAATTTCTTAGCACATTTATCAGCTAAAAATAACTGTGAATATCCTCCTGCGCTTGTTGCAGAAACCACAAACCTCGCTATAGCTGCTGCCACTTGACTTAAACCAATAGCTATGAATACAAAGTAACTGTGAATAGTGAAGCGCTATAAATCAAAATCTATCTAATAAGTAAAGATTGGTGCTATATAGTGCTAGCAGTGCCAACACAATAGTGCTCAGTGAAAAAAATATTGCAAACAAATAAATATCTCATTCAGCAAATATAAGTGAAACATAACCTTAAAATTGTGACAAAATTCAAATAATAGTGAAGTGGTTCTTTAAAAAGGAAAAAGCATCCCGTGCTGTTTAACAATAACTCTTAGGAACACACTGTGTATGACCAAACAACAAACAAATCAAAATGTATCTGTGTTTTTTTTAGAACATAAAGTCCATGCAAGTGAAACTGTGCTGACATGATCTTCACTCCAGTGAAAAACTAACAGAAATCCTCAAATGGCAGCAATGCCTGCTCACCTCCACACATTGACCCGCGCAAGGCCAAAGGGCTATAATTAACAATACCAGATCCTCTCCACTCCTCATCACAGGGACCATGGAATTGGATAAAGACCTCTGCCCAGCGTACCTTATTCACTCCACCTCCACTCGAGGTTACATACATAGGATATAAAGCAAGAAACCTGTCATAGTGCAGTATGCTTTTATTAAAATGTAGATAAAGCTTGGTAAAGCACTCACATGTATTCCCTAGTAACAATCACCTGTCACCACATCCTATGGGTGTACTGCATGGCTTACTGGGTGTAGCAATATGACCGCTGCCGGAAGTGTGTCACCTCGTACCGGAAATGGCTTACCGACGCGTTGCGTCACGTGCCTTGTGACTTCTCAAGTCACAAGGCACGTGACGCAACTATTATGATGCATTGGTGTGCAACTTAATGCATGTATTCATGTGTGTTTTGATTTGTTATTATTCATTTCAATATAAAATGCATTAACAGCTTCCCGTCCGCCCTATAGCAGATATACTGCTACAGGGTGGCACGGGTGCGCAAAATCACATATATATACATGATTTTGCATTTCCAGGTAGGGGGCTGCACTGCCTTTTGCGGCTGCTGCTGTCAATCACCAGTTAGTTAACCTCCCTGGCGGTATTCCCGAGTGTAGCTCGGGGTAAAGTTTCTGTACCAAAAGCGGTAACCCCGAGCTACACTCGGGCTTACCATGCAGCGCTGCATAGGGAGTCCCTTCAGCACTTACCTTGTCCTTCGCTCCCGCGATGTGTCCCCTGCAGCGTCCCCGGCCATCTCCTCCGGCTGATGCCGGCATCCGGCTTCTGTGTTCTGGTCCCTGTGACGTCGGGACGTACGGGCGCCGCCGGCAGCAGGAAATTTGAAAATTTAAAAAAAAATTCATTTTTTTCAAAACTAATTTTACATAGTAAAACATTGCTGTTTCAACCCATTTCACATACATTTTGTCCCTAGTGCTTTGTCCTGTCCCCTGTCTGCATTTTGTCTGTTCTTTCTGCCTGGAGACTTAGAAAAGTCCATGGCATCCAAAAAGCGTCCCTTTAGGTCAAAAGCGGTTTTAGACCAGCTAGAGAACAGCGATAGTAAATCAGAACCACTTGCAGAATTGAGTGATAATGATTCGTGGGGAAATTTGTCATCAGACACTGAAAACAATTTTGCGACTTTGCTCAGTGATGTGCGAACCTGGCGCTATATTTCAATTTCAGTTTTTGGGTTTGATTATATTATTGAATTAAATGTATTATTATTATATTATTATTTTTTATGATTATTTATTAAATTATAATTTATGATTTTGTGTTTCAAATTTTATCATACCCGGAATGTTTAATAGACTCTTGTTCAGACAGATTTCAGTGAGTTATTCCTAAATATTACAGCCTACAATAAAAAACTACATATTTCCATGCCAAATAATGGTACCGCTTTCAGCACCAAAAAATCTGAAATAATCATACCGCTAGGGAGGTTAAGAAATCAGTTCTCCTCCCTGTCAGCTTGTGCACACTGCTTTGAATGGCTTCACAGCTATACAAAGCAGTGTGCTTACAGTGAAGCATACAGGCACAGTCCCATTGTGAAACACACCCAGCACACAGTTAACCCTTTGACTGCCCCTCATGTTAACGCCTTCCTGCTTAGTGCCATTAGTACAGTGTCTTTTATTAGCACTGAGCACTGTATTGGTGTCGCTGGGGATATCAGTGACACCAAGTCAGTTCCCCCAGTGTTAGAATGCCCACTGCAGTCCTGAAGTCCCGCTATAAGTCACTGATTGCCGCCATTACTAGTAAAAATAAAAAAATCCCAGTATCTATACCGTATCTATAGACGCATTTCCGGTCTTTACCCCGTACGTCTGACGTCACTTCCGGTGAGTGGAGCGCACGCTGAGCGGTGCGTTCCAGCGGCCATCTTTTGGGATCTGTGCATGTTTGGTTTCTGTGGAGCTTCTGCTGTATCCTGGAGCTGTGATGTGAGATTCCTGAGGAGGTTGTCTGACATTCATTGTCCATCTGGAAGAAGCTTGTCCTAATAAATATGCCTTTTTAAAGTGATTTAAATGTGAGTGGCCTTAATCCTCGATTTTATTTAAAAACGGTATTTTGCAATATCACACTATCTGAGATCTTCTCTCCCCGGTTGTATGGTGGAGCCTATACTGAAGGTGAGGATTCCTATAGAGTGGATACGAAAGAGGGTTTAGGATCCCATAAAAATTCCTAAAAGGCGTTTCATTCACCTAAATCTGGTGAGTGCATTTGATGTTGGTTTGCACGGGTGGAAGGTGGAAGTTTTCTTTGCATTAGAAGAATTTTTGATCTTTTTGCACGAATTTTCTGAGATTTATGAACTTTTGTTGTCTATTATCATGATGGACTTTCACTATTAATATAATTTTCTATATATGTTTGCACTTTATTTATTGATTTGATATAGAGGTCTATGTTTGTGCTGTTTATTTATATTTATCACATTTTGTGTTCATCACATTGCACAGCAGCAGGATAGATCCTGTAGTAGTGTTTTTTCACTTGGCGCAGGAAGAATTTTTAGCAATTAATTTACATGTATTGGGATTTTTCTTTTATCAAAGACATGTAGCAGAATACATTTTGGCTTAAATTTTTGCAGAAATTTGATTTTTTTTTTCTGGACATGCTTAACCTCCCTGGCGGTATGAAATTTCAGATTTTTGGTGCTGAAAGCGGTTTTTTTTGCATGGAAATATGTATTTTTTTTTATTGTAGGCTGTAATTTTTAGGAAAAACTCACTGAAATCTGTCCGAACAAGAGTCTAGTAAACATCCCGGGTATGATAAAATTTGAAACACAAAATCATAAATTATAATTTAATAAATAATCATAAAAATAATAAAAAATTTAATTCAATAATATAATCAAACCAAAAACACTGAAATGTGAAATATAGCGCCAAGTTCGCACATTGCTGAGCTCAGTCGCAAAATCGTTTTCAGTTTCTGATGACGAATTTCCCCCACGAATCATTATCATCAATTCTGTAAGTGGTTCTGATTTACTATCGCTGTTCTCTAGCTGATCTAAACCGCTTTTGACCTAAAGGGACACTTTTTGGACGCCATGGACGTTTCTCATTTCCAGGCAGAAAGAACAGACAAAATGCAGGCAGGGCGCAGGACAAAGCACTAGGGACAATATGTATGTGAAATGGGTTGAAACAGCAATGTTTTACTGTGTAAAATGAAAAAAAAAAAAAAAAATGACATTTTTTAAAATTTTTAAATTTCCCGCCGCCGGCGGCGGCGACGGCGCCCGTACGTCCCGACGTCACAGGGACAGGACACAGAAGCCGGATGCCGGCATCGGCCGGAGGAGATGGCCGGGGACGCTGCAACACATCGTGGGAGCGCAGGGTAAGGTAAGTGAAGAACACATGCCGGAGCAATGGTATTCCCGAGTGTAGCTCGGGGTTACCGCTTTTGGTACTGAAATGTTACCCCGAGCTACACTCGGGAATACCGCCAGGGAGGTTAATAGCAAAAAGTCAAGAATATTGTTTTTTTCTCAAAATTGTCAGTCTTTTGTTTATAGTGCAAAAAATGTAAAAACGCAATCAAATACCACCGAAAGAAAGCTCAATTCATGGGAAAAAAGGACGTAAATATCATTTGGGTGCAGCATTGCATGACCGCACAATTGTCACTTAAAATAATGCAGCGCCTAACGCAAAAAATGGGCTGGTCAGGAAGGGGGGTATAAATCCTCAGGAGGGCAAGTGGTTAAGTTAAAATGCAAGTGTACAAGTGTTAATAGCGTTTAGGGTAGTATGTGCCCATGAATGAATGGCTGGAATCCAAGCAGTCTGCTTTAATCCCAGGGCACATACTGCCCTAACTGTTAATACTCAGTGTAGCTTTCAGTCTCCCATAGTGTTTACCTAGCTGCTGACAGTGTGCCTGTGCCTTCTGCCCACACTTAAATGCTGAGATCTCATGCATTGGGGTTAAATTCCAGTGTGCTTGAGGCCTTAACAGCTTGTCTACAGGGCACTTATACCCCCTTCCTGCCCAGGCCAATTTTCAGCTTTCAGCACTGTCACACTTTGAATGACAATTGCGCGGTCATGAAACACTGTAGCCATATGACATTTTTATCATTTTTTTTAAGACAGATAGAGCTTTCTTTTGGTGGTAATCACCTCTGGGATTTTTATTTATTGCAAAACAAACCAAAAACAACTGAAAATTTTGAAAAAAAAAGTGTTTTCTTAGTTTTTGTTATAAAATTTTGCAAATAAGTGATTTTCTCCTTCACTGATGTGCGCTAATGAGGCTGCAGTCATGGGCACTGATAGGCTGCACTGATGGGCACTGATAGGTGGCACTGATGGGCACTGATGAGGAGGCACTGGTAGGTGGCACTGATGGGTATTGACAAGCATCACTTATGGGCACTGATAGGCGGCACTGATAGGTGGCACTGATAGGCGGCACTGACTGGCACTGATAGATGGCACTGACTGGCACTGTTAGGTGGCACTGACTGGCACTGTTAGTCGGCACTGATAGGCAGCAGCGACGGGCACTGATAGGCGGCACTAATGAGCACTGATAGGTGTAACTGACTGGCACTGATAGGCGGCACTGACTGGCCCTGATAGGTGGCACTGATTGGCAGCACTGATAAGTGGCACTGACTGGCATTGATAGGTGGCACTGACTGTCACTGATAGGTGACACTGAAAGGCAGCTCAGATGGGCACTGATATGTGGCATTGATGTGCACTGGTAGGCACTGATATGTGGCATTGATGTGGCACTGACAGCTGGCATTGATGGACACTGACAGGTGGCACTGCTGGGGCTACACTGATCATCAGGGCACACTGGTCATCAGTGCCCTGATGATCAGTGTACATGTTCCCTCTGAGGGATGACGATTACCGTCTCTCCTCTCCTCTCGAGCTGTCAGCGTGACCGCTTGTGAGGAGAGAAATGCTGATGACCGGCATTTCCCTATTTACATGCAATCAGCTGTGATTGGACACAGCTGATCACATGACCGAGCGGACATCTTCGGCTCTTTCTGTTGATCAGTGATCCGAGGGACACAGAGCACCACTGATCGCTGCGCTGTGCGCTCCCGGAGCCACGCATGCGTGGTTAGAATGGGAGGAAATCATATGATGTCTTCCCAGAACGAGAGAACCACCCTGTGCCCGTCATTACCTTATATGGCAGGCAGGAAGCAGTTAAACGATGTCTAGATAAACGTCATTTGAATAAAATCAAAATTAAAAAATCATACCTGATATACAAAATAAATAAATATATATGTAGCACCCTCCTAGTCAGGTGCTAGGATGTGTCTAGGTTAAGCATAGCTGTGTTTCTCTGCGTACAAGAGAGGCTGTCAGGTAAATTCCGTGTGGTATTTTGCTATGATTGATTAGTCAGGTCTGCTCATGATGCTCTGGTGTTGTTGGAGTTTGTCTGAGTTCTGCCTGCCTTCAGGAAGCTATGAGAGCCTTCCGGAACATGGGTAGGGACTAGGAAAATGCACAGCATGCATATAGAAACAGCCCTGGCCAATTGCAGGGGAAGGTAGTCCCACTGAATGCTGGAAGGGGTATTTATATTCTGAGAGCACATGGGTTCAGTGTCTTTCCCTGGAGCACCAACCAGGCTGCCTCACCTGGTACTTTTTGCCATGTGGCCTCAGGTGGGTTGACCAGAGGGCCCGAAGTTGAAGAGAGTGACCCAGGTTCTTCAGTAAGCTGACTGAGGGGAGTTGTCCGCCAAAGCTCTTTCTGGTGTCACACAGTTTGGGGACACTGTGTGCTTGCAACCTCCTCTGGTGCTTGATAGTCAGCATGGGTCTGGAAAAGGGAACACTGCCTAGTGTTCTGAAGAGCTTGTCCAAGTGTTGTTACTGCAAAGGACTTTGCTCAGCTACGTTACCTTTGGGCTGTCACAGTCTGTCGTAACTTGCTTATACTTGAGGAGCTCAGCCCTGTAACTACTACTACTACTAAAGGGACTTTGCTCACAACTTAACTACTTGCTGCTATATGTTACGAGAGAAGTCTGCTATCTATTGTCAGCCAAGACTTCATAAGTGTTCAACTAAGAGTTCAGCTAGATGTCCTCAATGTGAATAGTTCTGATTTGGAGTATCCTACTACATTCCCCATCCCTACCCCAGTTCTACAATAAAGTCCAAAAACAAAACGTCTCCTAGACTGGTCATTGAAGACAATGAGCAGAAGTGTGTATGCATGTATTTGGCTGCAGAAATACACTGTGCCTGACTGTGAGGCCGCTTGTGTGGAAAACATACAAGCAGCTCCTTCGGGGGTAGCGCTACATATAAAATATATAGAAACAAACCATAAACAGTACAGATATAATCAACTGCTTCTGTGTCCAATCATAATGAAACATATTATCAAGGCACAGATTCAAATCCATCAAAGTGTATTTGGTGCAATTCATAGCAATGTGCAAATATTCTCCTGTGATAACGTAATGACCAATATAATGCACACAATTGTGCAATATCTATCTGTGCTTACCAATAGCAACCAATACAATGCGTAATGTTGTGCAAGTGTCTTTCTGTGGTAAATAAATACAGCTATAATATTATTATAAATAATATTGTGGAAGTGTCCAACTGCGGTAATGAATAGCAACCAAGGATCAATGTGCAAAACTCCAATATTTTCCCAGGTGTCAAGACGTGCAACAACTGCAGTGAGTGAACTCACTGGAATAGGTTGACCTTAAATCAAGAAGGTTAAAAAGCACTTCTCCCAATTAATGGGAAAAAAAAATCCTTTCCTCTGTCACTAGATCCTTATATCTCTCTTAGGCACTTCAAAATATTACAGTAAAGGAATGAAGAATATACCATGGGGTATATTTATAAAAATGTTGCATAGCAATTTACCTAGTGAAAGTACATGTACATTCATTCTGTGTGAATATGGCAAAAAGGACAAATATTATTGGGCTATGTACTCTGCTGGTTGAATGTTTTTCATTGATTTAAAAAGAAAATACATCCTTTTGCTACTAGATGGCGCTAAGTATCATAGGAATTTCCTATCGCCATCTAGTGGCCAAAGGCGGTAGTTCCCACTGTAAGTCAATGAAAAACTTCCATCCAGCACAGAAAATAGTTTATTTTTGCTTTGTTTTTGTTTTTTTTCTCCATTTGCAAAGACCAAATGAACATGCATTTTCACTGGGTGAATTGCTATGTGAATTTTTTTTATTCACATTGAATTTGCATTAAACCTTTATTCAGCGTATTGAATAAAAACAAATAAACCCACTTACAATTGTCATTGTTATTGCTAGCACTAGCTAATGTGCCTCATTGCATCCTTTTCCCTTGGTCTCTCTGGAGCTAACAGCATGCAGTCAAGCTCAATGACATTGCTGATGTCAGTTAGAAGGCTGAGGTGTGTTCTCGATGCTATTTATTATAGCTGCATATTAAAATGCTTGTCTGGAGTTTCAACATTTTCTTTTATCATCCAGAATGTGTACTTTTATGTTTTTTAATTAAGGAAGCAAGGAAAAAGGTTTAAATCTTGTAATATTAACTATTGCCAAATATTGTAAACTTACATTGGATGCATACTGTACTATTGTGTCCTTTTATCTCAATTTATAATTAAATTATTCCTATACCATTTCAAAACTGTACAGCACAAAGAACCATGAGGGCTTTATTAATATTAAATCACAATAATAATTCTTTTATTTAGAGTCCCGCATAATATTTGAGTGTACGGTAGAGATGAAATTATATTTCCATTATTCCTAGACAAATAGATCAATACTGCCTATTCTACTTATAGATTTGAAATTCCAGGACTGTCATTACAGAGATTAATATTTGCATAAGAACAGCTGCATGAACATCTCAAAATGAAACATTGATGTCCTATATTTCTGGATGCAAATGGATTTTAATTTTGCATGACCTAGCTTACTAACACAGTAATACTTCTGGCCTGAGGTTCAGTGGACGAGAGATCTTTCCATAATTCGGGGCACTATGCATGAAATATATTATTTCAATAAAAATAAATCAAAGCATTTCAAACACAGAACTAGTGTTCCTATCTCCATAAAGCATTACAGCAGAAAACCATCCTACAGCCAAAAAAATGTTCCGGGAGTGTGTCTGCAGTACAGTGCCCGCCTGGGTACTCTGCTACATTGCTGCTCTCCACTCACCCTCCACCTAAATATCTCTCTTCTCACCTTCCCACAATAAATATTCCTCTCTGCATATAAAAATCATCAAACTTACATAACAACAGGTTATATATTTTCCTATTTCTCATTCTAAGGCTCCATGCACTCTGGCTTAAAAAACTCAGCTTCTACAGGAGTTTGTGCTTTGCCCAAAGAAGCAGCTCAATGTTTTTCCATGTGCTTTAGGACATTCAGAGACATTATAACCACTTGCTGACCAGCCGAAGCACATATACTGCGGCTGGGAGGAACTTGCAGGCAAAATCATGTACATGTATATAATTTTGTTGCTCCGGTACAGGGGCACGCTGCGCAACACAGCAAATTGTACTCAATAAACAGGACCCGGTGATCACGTGATCATATGATCACAGTGTAAAACAAAGCTGTTACAAATTAGTTCATTTGTTAACAGCTGTGTTTTCTAGGCTGTGATTGGCCCACAGCTGTCACATGGTGCCTAAGCCAATCACAACACCTTGTACCATGTGATTAGCTGTAGCCAATTGCAGATAAGTAGTGATCATAGCTGTCATGAATGTAACCTATTCATGACAGTTTTACAATGATCTTCATTTTAACAACAAAGTGGTTAAAAAAAAACCCTGATCACCCACTTGCCCCAGAATAGTACAGTGTTACTATGGTGACCATGGACTACTCTGATAAAAGTATGTAAAAAAAGGTAAAAAAATTTAAAAGAAAATGTTAAACATTTTTAAAAATGTAATAAAACAGTATCTATTTTTTTTACTGGGGTTTATTTACTACTAAGGTGTCCGTTTGTGAACCAGCGGTAATAGATCGCTGCTCAGTTCTCCGGCATTCTCGGAACACAGTTCTCCTGTGAATGCAGTTTATGAAGCAGTTCTCCGAACAAAGGGAGAACGGTCTCCAAACGCTGGAGAACGGTCTACAAACTCTGAAAAAACGGCTCATTTTACTATAATCTCTCGAGATTATAGTAAAAGATCAGTTTACTAAACAGAGGTAAACTATCTCTGCTTAGTTTTCGGTCCCTCTGATTCTCCAGCTCTGGGCTGGAGAATCTGGAGGGAGAACACAGATCTCCAGAGAAGGGCTGACATGATCTCCTGAGTGTCATAAACTGTGAATGACCAGAGAATAGCTGAGATCTGTTGAATCGCAGCTATTCTCTGTGTCATAAACGGACACCTAAAACTGGTTCACTCAGATTCTCTTGCACCTGTGCATGGTAGCCAATCAGTTTCTCACCTAAGCTTGATCAATTAAGCTTTAGCAACAAAACCTGGAAGCTGATTGGTTTCTATACAGAAGTGCACAAGACTCTGAGTGAACCAGCTTTAGTAAATAAACCCCACTGTCACCAGTCAGTATCCCTGATCACCGCCACGCCAGTCACATGATGACGCTGTACTGGTGACA